GGCAGCCCGTTATACACACACACACACACACCCTTATGGAGGGGTCACCTCCCTCCCCGTCCTGCTCGAAGACTCTGGAAAAGAAGTCAGTGTTTTGTCCCCGCACGATACACCACCTCGAACTGGTATGGCTGTAGCAACATATACCATCGCATAATGCGGGGGTTGGAATTTTTCATCGAATTCAGCCAGACTAATGGTGCATGACGTTATACACACACACACACACACCCTTATGGAGGGGTCACCTCCCTCCCCGTCCTGCTCGAAGACTCTGGAAAAGAAGTCAGTGTTTTGTCCCCGCACGATACACCACCTCGAACTGGTATGGCTGTAGCAACATATACCATCGCATAATGCGGGGGTTGGAATTTTTCATCGAATTCAGCCAGACTAATGGTGCATGATCTGTGATTAATTTGAATTTATTACCCCATAAATAATACCTCAATAACTCCACAGCCCATTTTACGGCCAGGGCCTCTTTCTCAATTGTCGCATAGTTCTTTTCCCAGGGCAGGAAAAGAACTATGCTTACGGCTTACGGCTGAGGTATAAAACTGAGTGCTCCTCACCGAGGTGTTCCTGGGCCAAGACGGCTCCTAGTCCGCACTCGGAGGCATCTGTATATAAAAAGGAAAGGTCTTTCAAAATCCGGTTGCATTAAAACCGGAGTTTGGGTTAGTCTGAGCTTTAGCTCCCGAAAGGCCAGGTCCGCTTGGACCATCCATTGGACCTTGGTGGGGTTTGTATTCTTAGTTAACTCTGTTAAGGGGCGGCTATCGTCGCAAAGTCTGGAACAAACCTATGGTAATACCCCGCTAGCCCCAAAAATTGCCGTACCTGCTTTTTGGTAGCGGGAGCTGGGTAATTTCATAGGGCCTCGACTTTGTCCAACAGAGGCTTCAGCCGGCCTCCCCCCACCATGTAGCCTAGGTAGGACACCTCTCTCTGGGCAAAGTGACACTTCTTGGGGTTGGCCGTGAGACCTGCCTCCTGTAGGGCCCGCATTACCACCTTTAGATGTTCCAAGTGCTCCTGCTAGGTTATGCTATAGACCATGATGTCATCAATGTAGGCAGCGGTGTACCCCCGATGAGTCCCTAACACCCTATCCATAACCTGCTGGAAGGTCCCAATCCCGGGGGTCTTCCTGTACCACTCATCTTAACATATCCTTCAAAGTGCGATTAAACCTCTCCACCAGCCCATCCGACTGGGGGTGGTACACCGATGTTCGGAGGGTTTTTATCCGCAACAATATGCATAGTTCTTTCATCAACCAAGAGGTAAGATTGGTGCCTTGATCGGTTAAAATGACTTTTGGGAACCCCACCCGCATGAACATTTCAAGCAGTTCGGACACCAGGGTAGGGGCTTTGGTGTTTCGCAGCAGTACCATTTCTGGGTACCTTGTGGCATAGTCAATGACTACCAGGATGAAATGGTGGCCCGCCCAGGATGGCTCCAGGGGCCCCACTAAGTCTAGAGCTATCCTTTCAAAGGGGACACCTACCACAGGGAAGGGGACCTGTGGCACCCCGACTGAGGAGACCTTTTGACAGTCCGGGCAGGAGGCGCAGAAATCCCGCACTGCCCGATTATCCCCGGGCCAATAGAAGCGCTGTAGGACTCGGGCCAATGTTTTCTCCCATCCCAAGTGCCTCGACCAGAGGTTCGTGTGGGCTAAGTCTAGGACCTCCCTGCGGCGGCTTTGGGGTACCACCAGTTGCCTCCTTTCTCCTTCCCCTTCCCGGGCCCCCACCCGAGAGGTAGGGAGCCAGCAAGGTGGCCCAGTGGCTCTCGGGCCAGCATGCGGCAGTGGCCACTCTCTCGAATGTGGTCAGATAGGCCTCCTGGCCATTGCCTGGCCCCATCTTAGTCAACCTCAGTGGGAGGGAGCCGAGGCCTCTCTCACCCTCCTCTCCCTTCAGGATCGGGGCCGCCCCGCCGCTCCCGGGGTGCGGTAACTGCAGCCTCTTCTCATGCTGCACCACCAGTTCTTG